GAAAAATACTATTTAGAACATTTAAAAATGTGAGCTTTTCTTCAAATAGGAAACTAAAGATTGCAGATATAACATTATGTACAACTAGTGCGCTAAAGCGTAATGTCGTACGGCAAATCAGCGATCACCTTTAATATAGTGGGATGTCATTACTTTTTTATTTTAGGAGCTACTGTCAGAGCTGGACTATTTATCTAACAGTATTTACGAATACCATGGTTCTCTGAGCGAGTGATGAGTTTGGCTTGGAGTCATGAGTAAAACACACAACAGCACAGAGGTGGCGTTTCCTTTCAGAGCTGAAGCGGAGGGGATCGGGGAAACTAAACGAGTCTAACGTCTCACCTTTTCACACCCAACAATAAACTCACAGGACAGTATGAGAGAAAAAAAGAAGAAAGACAAATAAACCAAAGTGAACAAACGATAAATGAACATAGCAAAAATCAGAGGACAGATTTTAGAGCGGAGAGTTTTTGAGCAAGACTGATATTAAAGCAAGTTGACACAGAAACAAATGAAGTAACAACTTGCACATCATGTAGAATATCAACAATCTATCACGTCTGAAGGAATATTTCATCCACAAGATTATACATTTAATAATCTTACCCTTTCTATTAACTTCATTTCTTGAAGAAAAATCTTTAATCGAGCTGGTTTCTCCAAAATGACCTACCCCACCTTTAAGCAACACTTTACCCCTTCCATTAGTTAAAGGTAGGGTAAGTAATTCACTTCAGAAACACTTGTTATATTCCATGGAATGCTCTTAACATCCCGATAGCAATGAATACATTAAATGACAATAAATACATAACAATATGTCATCAGTGGAAGCCGTGGCGCTGTAAAAAGCACGACCAATCATCTGAGCCGGCCCGGCTAAAGTAACTGGATGGCCTACCTGCCTGTCAGCCTTCCATCTGTGCACAAACTTATCTCGTGCCCTCATTGAGAGGCGAAGTCCCGCCCATCTACTTCCGCCCCATGGGACGTTATTTCGGAAAAATGATGTATTGAAGTCAATGGAGAGAGAAAACGTATCTTTCGACCCCGTTTGAATTGTGCCACGATTTACACATATGATGTTTGTCAATCTTAACAAATAAAGTCACAGTTTGTCGTAAAACTGTTGAAATATAAGACTATGAAAAATACGCAACTAGAAAATACAAACCCCAGAATCCCGGTCCCGCATGCTGGCTCTTACGGAACCGACTAACTCCCCTTGTGTGTATGTACAGCTCTCAACGTGCCCAGACTTGCAGTGATTTTCACCTCTTTTAATACTTTCCGCCTCATTCTGAAAGAAAGAAGTGAAATGTTTCAACGTGACGGCCGTCTGGGTGTGTGGTGCGAGGCGGGAGATGTAGTTCATTGAGCGGTTTCACACAAAAAAAGTGTTACTTCACAGTTTTACGACACATTTTAATTTGTTTGACTTGCAAAATTATCTTTTAAATTGACAAACATCATATGTGTAATTCGTGACACAATTCAAACGGGATCGAAAGATAATCTTTCTCTCCATTGACTTCAATACATACTTTTTCCGAAATAAGGTCCCATGGAGCTCCCCGGAAAGGAGGGACTTCGCCTTTCTATTGGTCATGTGCGTTGGAGGAAGGAAGTCTGAAGGAAGGGGCAGATTTTTTTCGGTTGTGTACTTTCAAATTCTAGCGCACTCGAGCTGGTTTCTCCATTCTTACCTACCCCACATTTAACTTTGAAACAAGCAAGAAGGAAAAACAAAAACAGTTCTCTTCAAGAATTCAAGGTAACACAGGGTGGGATATCCAAATAATAATTTGTAAGTGAAGAAATTCTTTAACTAGCCTTTAAAATGCTATGGCACTTTAGTAAAGTATAAGGGGTTGAAGCAAACATAACAACTCACCTGCTATCCGTGTCCAAACCCACAAAGTCCTTCTTCTCAAAGGCACACAGAGCAGAGGGGTCTTGTCACCGGACTTGTCTGTGGCCCGATCGAGCCTCTTGGACTCCAACACAATAAAGATGGACTCCACAAAGTCATCCACCCTCTTCTCCACGTCGGGGCAGTCTTCAAAGCTAGGGTAGAAGGCCACGTCTGTCCTCTGCTGCTCTGCGATGTCTCCCTGCAGCCCGAACACCAGCAGCCGCGAGTCGTAGAGCGTGGAGCTGTACACCTCCTTCTGCCCGTGGAAACGCTCCGCAGTTTGGGGCCATTCTTTGGTAGAACCGCAGGTGGTGATGGAGATGAGACCCACTACTTTACGATGCGTCTGGAAGTCCCCCCACTCGTTGTTTTCGGGCAGGTAGTGGTGGCGGTAGCGGATGTAGAGGAGCCGCTGAGAGTCCCTGATGTTCACCTGGCTCACGCTGGAGATGCGTTTGTAGATCTTGAAGAACTGGTCCTCGGGGACGATGCCCACCGGCTGGACGACTACTAGAACCGTCTGGTGGTCCTCGGCACACTGCATGTAGTCTGGGACGCTCATCTTCACATGTGGCTACAAGGGAGAGAAAAAGAAAAACAATTAATAAAGCTGATCATATTCCCAAGGCAAGGCAAGTTTATTTATATAGCACTTTTCATCACACGCTGGGAGGCGTTGGTGTTCGGATCAGGGGAGCACAGGTTCAAACCCCACTGCAGTCAGCATGTCGTTGTGTCCCTGAGACACTTCACCCCAAAGTGCTCCTGTGGGGATTGCCCACAGTATTGAGTATGTAAGTCTCTTTGGATAAAAGCGTCTAACAAGTGACATGTAATGTAAAAAAAAATGTAATGTTAATTAGCTAAACATTAGCTGTGTTTGTATCCAGTGTGACGTATACTTCAAATGATCCTCTCACGTTTGAATGAAAAGATGCTTCTTGGAGTACCTGATGCACGAAATGAGAAAACTTGACCAAAGCAACTCAAAAATGGTCAAAACAGTGAATCTGTTCAACTTAATGCAGCGTTTCCTTAGCTTAAAGCAAAACAACACCTGCTGCTAACATAAACACCAAACAGAGGCAGCTAAATATGACAGCTGACAACATTATTAAAGTGTTCAAATGGGACAAACAATATATAATTAGCAAACCATGTATTTTGCTTGTATTCCGTGAATGTATATCCAGAGAAAGGGCTTCAAATAAGCTTTAATATCGCTTCAAAACATTGTGTCAGATAGCTTAGCTTAGCTAGCTAACCTATGAATTAGCTGCTCATGATAGTCGCACAGTAACGACAATGACAGAAATAACAAAGTACATTTTGCAAACACCAGCGTAGTGATTCTATCCTTCAATTGTAACACGAATGCCTCTCATATAAAAGGTTAATTTACCTTACCTCAGCAGAACCTGTCAATTTTTTACAGCTTCCTTCTTTGGACAAATGTTTTGCCCTTTTCAAAGCTCTTCAACAACGCAACATCCGGTAGGGGATTTCAAAATAAAACACACACGGCGAGGCTTATTCGGAGTTGTGTCTTTTTCTGTTTTTTCAATTTAGGATAAGTAAACAATTAATAGTTATATCTGATTCACAACCTTGTGCAAATAATACATATTTCCCAGTGACTTCTTCATCTACAGATTTTGGGGAAATAATGATATCCACAGCGTTTATCATGATTGATTTGATAGGACAAAGTGCTCATGTGGGCGTGGTCTATAGGCTTTCCTTTACCATTACTATGTACATGTTTAAGCGGAGTTATATTTGGGAATCATATTCTAAGCAAAAGGGGATAATATGCAACTTTGTGTCTGATATGCCATAATGTCTGCTTTTATTTTGAAGTCCGATCCACATTTCCTGTTGAATCTCTAGCGTGGACTAAGTTCTTCTTCGTCTTCCTGCAAAGGTAGAAGACTAATACGGTTCATCAGCTCCACCTAACGAACACACGAGGTACTGCATCTGAGCAAAAGCATAGGGTTTTTCATGTGAGGCCATTTGCTATGGTTTCCTAATTACTGATAATTGTTATGCAACTTTAATAAATGTATTACTTGACATATCTCATATTAGATAATCATTTTGGAGAAACATATGGAAACAAATATATATCAAAAGGTGAAGAAATACGCTTATAATAATAACAACTTGTAAAAAACAAGAAAACGCTTTGGTGAAATAATTATTCAAACATTGTTAATTGTGTTCTTTCTTAATTGGTTATAAATTGAGAAGACTACAAATAATTCAACTTAAAAGATGTTGTTGAATTAAGCAATTCACAAATACAGCAAACTAGATATGTATGTACTTAAAGTACATTAACTAAATGTACACGTTGTACATTTTACACATATATAATCTGTTCAATATTTTATATTTTATATTCCATATTCCATGTCATATATTTTTGAATATATAATATCTACATGTATATTTTCTATTTTCTTTTCTTTCTATTCTTGTTTATTTGTAGTTTTGTTTTATTGTAAAATGCCTTGTCTTTTATGCTGCTGCAACACAAACTATTTCTCAAAATGGGATCAATAAAGTACCATTTTATCTTATCTTAATGTCATACTTTCTCGCTATATAGAACCGATTAATGATAATGTCTGTATAGTCATTAAGTGGCTTACACCGAACATTGCTATGAATGTACGGACACTGCAGATCATGGAATATTTATAGGCACTGTCATAATATTCCACTGCCTTGCAAATAAAAAATGACCCTCTGGTGAGTCAGCAAATGTCCCCGCACGACACTGTAAAATGTCCTATTAATAGGAACACTATGAATAGGTAATGACACATTATAATTAAGTATCATTGGATCAGACTTCCGAGATGCCAGAGCGGATTATGGCATCAATTCTTCAGGTATAACAATATGGTAAATGGACTGTACTCTAATATACAGTGCTTTATCCAGTCTCTACGACCCCTCAAAGCGCTTTACATATTACGAGTCATTCACCCATTCATGCAGAGCAGTGCTATTGCTCTAGGGAAGCACGCACACACACACACAGAGAGCAACTCAAAGAAATCCAGACAGGTAGATTCAACTCCTTTTTATTATTTTTTTCCACCCATAAATCACTTTCACAATCTTCTCGGAAGACAACAACATTTGTATTCCCGATTTTCTTTTGGCCAAGGGGAGTTGGTCCAAAAAGCAAAAAGCAGGAGCTCAGAGAGAGACACATGGAATGTCTTAAACATGATTAATAGTGAACAAACATCAATAACAGGCAAACCAACCGACTTACAAAACAGTGCACAAACAGTGTGTGTGAAGGCCGTCGTTACAAGGGATCCCAAACTGTAGAAACACAATTCTGAAAGCATGGGACGCGGGGGTTGACAGATAAGAAGCGAAAGAGAGGGGAAACCATCTTGTTTTCAATTTTTGTAAAACACAAGCAACCCAAAACATGAAAATAAAACATTACTGAGTGAATGCACAGAGCAAATACGAGAAGCCTTCATTTTTCCCATGTGGTAATTGTTCCCAAAGGTTAGTAAGACTGTATTTAAACACTTTGACCTGTATGTGTGTGTGTGTGTGTGTGTGTGTGTGTGTGTGTGTGTGTGTGTGTGTGTGTGTGTGTGTGTGTGTGTGTGTTCAGAGTGAGGCAGGGTTTTGGTGCATAGTCACATTTCTGCATCTTCACGCCTCATCCAAACTGTAACGTAAAAATAAACACAGGAATGTAAAGCTACGTGTTTCAAAGCTTTCTTTTCAGTCAAAACGTTGGTGCCGGTAACAACGCTTCCATGTTACACAGATCATGGAAAAGAGAGGGGAAATGCCAGGTAAGTGCTAATACTACAGAGGAAATCCACCTTCAAAGCGCATTACAGATATGTATTGGCACCAAATGTGAAATTACGACGCGTTCATCTGCCTTATTTAAACAAAGCAGCTAAATACTGAAATGCTGTAGGACCTTTTACTTACAAATTACTAACGTTTTAATAACTTTGGCCCATTGGTGACAATTCTGATATGTCTAAAGAGTGTTTGGTTTCCAGATCTGATTTGAAAACCAAAAGGTGGGAAGTACAACTGTTATTATTTGGATTTTTCATATGTTATGTATAACCACTAGCAAGGTAGTTATGTATTTGGGGTTTCAGCAGGAAAACCTTAGGTCCGATTTGATGAAAGTTGGTTATTTTTTATCCATGAAAACAGATTTGACTTTTTAATCTAGCTATAATTTTTCCAGTTCAATTACGTTTCCTGTAAATCTTACTATATCACCTCAGGTGGAATACCTCATTTGTCTATTTGTAAATACATACACCACTTTAATCAGCTTTTTAAACTCCCACCATGTGTAAGTGTCACATGCTATTAGGTCTTTATCTTTGTGAGACATTTCCAAAAGGGATCCTTTTAAAAAGAGCAACGTCATGCTAGCCAAGATGGAAGTAAACAATGCATAAATATTCGTTCTTTATTTTCTAAACATTAAGGAAACATGCGTCTGAATGTAACTTGTATCACAAATTAACAGGATACCATTAATGTGTCTGAGATAAGTGCTTGTTGGGGGCGTCATTAAACAAGTAATAAGTATTTTTAATATTTGTCCAAGTATCCAAGTGAAGCCAGGCGCCGGCTACTGAACAGACGTCTTGTTATATATGACATAAGGTGACCAATGGACCAAAATTACAAAAAGCTTCACAGCCTAAGAGGCCTTTTTTTAGCTGCTATCACCCTCATCATTATTCAGATTTGAGGACATCACGGTCCTTGCTACTTCTGTGTGTTTTTTGCAACCATGTGAAGTACAAATAGCGTACAGACATGGGAACGTGAAGGCTACGGAAAAAGGACGACAAAGTAGTTAAGACTGAGTGATAAAAGTGAGTTTGTTCTGCGGAGATTCTGGGTTGAACGTTGTCATCCTGCGGATTACTCTAATCTCCAGCGATCATGTGGCTGCGGCCGAGATTAGTCGCCTTAATTACCGCATGTTTACACACCCCATTGATTTGAACACTATAGTCTGTCAGACAGGGAAAATATCTGAAATAAATCACGAGAAAAGGAGCAGATTAAGACAGAGTCTAATGGTGCAGCACGGGGAATGTGTGTCTTCTGATTGGTTAGGATATTTGGCATTCTTCTTTATGGCATTGATAGTGAGAGGATACCGCCAGTGGTGCAGAGAGACAGAGAGAGAGAGAGAGACTGGATAAAGGGTGTTTGGGGAGAGGGGGTTAAGATGGAGAATGAAATGGCGCCTTCCTCACGCCATCTTCAGAAACTGGTCCATTGTATCGTCTTCCACCGCGTCCGAAAACATTTCATAGTCCTGTGGAGAGGAAGAGGGTCCGTCAGCAAACAAAACACAAAGCGTTGGTAATGGATGCACATTTTCAAAAGGGAAATTAACTTATTATTCCATGGAAATCATACCTCTTATGTTATAAGTCATTATTTTTAGGCTATTTTCATTAAACCTGCAGATAATAGCCTAAAGCTAAGGGCATCATTTAACATTACTTGTTAGCATTGTTGCTAGTTTTAGCCATTCTGCTAGTGATTCCAATCCATACTAGATATCATAACTACACTAGCCAAAAATACAAATAACTTTTTCTATTTCATATTATGAAAATTCTGCTGTGTTTTCAACAGATACTCTATCGTGTGTCTCGGTGACTCATAATCAATGCAGCATTTTATAACGACGATGAACGAGTAAGACGCACCTCTTTTTATTGAATTTGAGTATTTTTTGCCTATTTTTTCATAATAAAGTCAGTGCTTTGTGTGTCATGGGTACATTTGAGGATCCCCATGGGTAACAGCGGCCCAGTGTCTGTTCCCTCAGAGAGATATTTGGTTACAAAGAACTCAATGGTGCTCTAGGAGGAGATTCAGGTGATAAGGTGGAGGGGGGGGTTACCTTGGTTGCTGATAGGCTAATGGTTACACAAGACAACACATCGTTATGACATCATAAAGTGGCCAAAATGAAGAAGAGGGTACACATGTTGATGAAGAAGAGACATGAAGAAGAGGGGACACATGTTGATGTAGAAGAGACATGAAGAAGAGGGGACACATGTTGATGTAGAAGAGACATGAAGAAGAGGGGACACATGTTGATGTAGAAGAGACATGAAGAAGAGGGGACACATGTTGATGAAGAAGAGACATGAAGAAGAGGGGACACATGTTGATGTAGAAGAGACATGAAGAAGAGGGGACACATGTTGATGTAGAAGAGACATGAAGAAGAGGGGACACATGTTGATGTAGAAGAGACATGAAGAAGAGGGGACACATGTTGATGTAGAAGAGACATGAAGAAGAGGGGACACATGTTGATGTAGAAGAGACGTGAAGAAGAGGGGACACATGTTGATGGAGAAGAGACATGAAGAAGAGGGGACACATGTTGATGTAGAAGAGACATGAAGAAGAGGGGACACATGTTGATGTAGAGGAGACATGAAGAAGAGGGGACACATGTTGATGTTGAAGAGACGTGAAGAAGAGGGGACACATGTTGATGAAGAAGAGACATGAAGAAGAGGGGACACATGTTGATGAAGAAGAGACATGAAGAAGAGGGGACACATGTTGATGTAGAAGAGACATGAAGAAGAGGGGACACATGTTGATGTAGAAGAGACATGAAGAAGAGGGGACACATGTTGATGTAGAAGAGACATGAAGAAGTGGATTTTGCATAATAGGTGAACTTTAAGGGGAAATAAATATAAAATAACCAGGCAGGTGTGTGTGCCGTCCTCACCCCACAGTACTGGTCTTCGTTGAAGAGCTGGGGGGGGACAGCGGAGGGGTTTCCTGCTTTGCTTCTCATCTCGTCGCGGAGCTCTCCCCCCACAGAGATGTCGATGAGCTCGTACTGAATGCTTTTACTCTCCAGGATCCGCATCACCTCTGCCTGCTGAGACTTCACCTGCACAACAACAACACTCTTCAGAAATGTACTCGGTACCAGGAAGGAGTCAAAAGATGAAAATCCTGAGGCTGTTATCTGTATATTGTATTGCTTCTTAAACTCTGTAAAGACAGGCCATCCAATTATGAGACAACATTCATTATGGCTATCATTTTTTTTCTATTCATGGTTGTTAAGTACATTCTCAAAGATATTGAAGTGACTGTTATTTTGTATATATTGATTGCTGTGCTTTTATTTAGGTCTTAATGTGTGCATATGTATAAATGTGCCTTTTGATTGTGTGTGTATATATATATTTTAATATATATTTGTTTTGTATTCGGGATTGTAGGAAACGGTATTTCGATCTCTGTCTGTACACACAAACTGAAAGATTGACAATAAAGTTGACTTTGACTTAAGTATTAAATGATGTTACTCAATATAGTCTCTGATAGTTGAAGTTGCATCCCATCACACCGTCACCTTTACCACCATTGATGCATTCATGATACATATTTGTTCCCCCGTATTAGTTATTACATTTTTAACAAGCAAATTACGCAACAATATTGCAATATTTGCAATCACAAATAAAACCATGCTTTTATTGAGATAACCTCTATAAACTGAGTCAAACACTAATGGCTATCAGAGAGCTGATTTAATAAACCCTGTGAAATGATTATTCGCCAAGGGCAGAGTCATTTCATTTCATTTTCATTCAAGGCAGAGTGCTGTGAAAGAAACTATTATTTTTCTGTAACTGTGCCTTTGAACCGCAGAGGCTTTATCTGGCTCCCTGTTGATGATTAATAGAACATGTGAACGCTCGGCTGCTGTCTTTGAGGGCGACAGAGGAAGTTGGGAGGGGGTTTCGTAAAAAGTGACCACACCTTACCACAACATTAACTGGAAACATAAACCAGCTGGCATTTAGCAAGCCACACACAGTTTGTGTAATGTCATTTCCTTTAGTTGAAAAAGAGGAATTGGTTTTACAGATTCAGCAGTAAAGCTTCTCTGGATTCTGTGAAGAACAAAAACTGAACGTCAAAAAGAGGAATTACATTTTAAATATGACTTTTAATAAAGTACGTCTGAGGTTATTCAATGTGGTATAGTAACCATCACTACATAAAAGAAGTGCATGTCCACAAAACTATTTCACTACTTGAATTCCTCACATCTAATGGGAACCAGATGTTAATCCCATTGGTGTGTTATACAGTGTTTTCCAAGCGCTACAAGCATAATTCTTAAAAGGGATTGTGTGTTTTACAAGGCTAGTTTGAAATGTCTGCTGACCGTCTGGATGTCAACCTGTTTCAATCGAGTCTTCCTGATGTCTAGCGAAACATCCTTCAACACTTCATTGCCAAGTTGGTATATTTAAGAGTATCCTGTTTATCAACTAACATATACAACAGAGAATAGAAACATCTGAATTTCCCTGGATTAAAGAGTCTAATTGTCAATTCGGCTTACATTAAAAACATAGAAAACTCTTAATTAAGTAACTTTATAGATGTGTGTACTAGTAGTTTCCTCATGCTTGCTTAGTAACTGCAACAGAAGATTGAGTGGCAGTTCTGTCACTTACAAAATATAACATTCATTTAAATCAAATGCTGTTTAATGCATTAACTGTATTGCTTAACAATACATGCATATTATTTGCAAAAGCCTTATCATTACAATATATGTTCTATAACCAATGTAACCTTAAAGTGACAGTTTTTTGCATTAAGTTTGGCGTACAGTCCTCAATACAGGAAACGGATGCATATATGGTCGATGTGATAAACCTGATGTGCCAAAATGACACTGTTATTTTAAATGTTTAAATTAAGTCATATTGACAATATATTTTCAGTACACACTTCTGCAAAAACAAGCCAAATGGTTAAACACCAATATAACCAGCATACAGGAGGTGGAATCATGCATCCGGGTCCAAATCATTCATATTTTCTTTCATTACTTTTACAAATGATGACTTGAATCTTCATTAAGCTTGCAACCTATTATTGCTCACGTTAGAAATAAAGGTGTAAATGTGCGCAGAGCAGCAGAGGCCCTCAGTGTGTGTCAGGAGGAAGCTGATAGGGTGCTGGGTGTGTCTGTCGGACTGAGCTCCGTTTAACTGCTGCAACCGGAGATATAAAACACCGATATGTCGGTAAATCCGGTGAATAAAGGCCACAACACTCACCGTCCGTGAGGCAGTAACGGTGGTGTAGTACAGTTTGATTCCCATCGCTGCAGGTCCTTTCTCTCCCTTTGTGTATCCGCTTCAGAGTAGCTTTCTCTGTCGTGAGTCAAGCGCAACAGTTATCCATTAAAACTCCGGAAGTTGGATGTTGTTTTCAAAATAAAAGCATGTTTTTGCACATCAATGGAAGAAAGATGGACGTAACTAAAAAAACATGTGAATATTGTTTATATGCATGCAGGTTTTTGGAGAACCCAGAAGACAACATCATTAAAAGCCAACTTGTTTAAGAGCTTGGTGCGAACAATAAGCTAAAGAAAGGTTTCAAATGTGTTAACCCTCCTTTTGTCTTCGGGTCAAATCTGACCGATTTACTACTTTCATCAATCTTAACTTTTTAGTTTTACATTCGATTGCATTAAGGCTTTATGATATCCTTCACATTAGACATTTGAACATATACAATCAGTGATCACCCCTTTCATTGCATTTTGGATGATTTAGTCAACTTTGAAACACCCATGGTGTTCTCGGTCAAAAATGACCGCCATAAAGAAAAGGAATTAGTAACCATCCGGATCAGATAAAACACACACACACACGCACACACACACACACACACACACACACACACACACACACACACACACACACACACACACACACACACATACTCTAGATGTGTCCGTCCCCCCTTATGTGCCCATCCCCCCACATGGATCACACCTGGCACACGCAATACATGTTCAGTGTCTATTCTTTGTATATTTAGTGCAGTTGTTCATGTATACCAGTAGTCTGATACAATATTTACAGTTTGAAAGGGTGTGAAATTAAATTTGGTGATGATTAATGGTGTTTGTGTTAATGTAATAGCAGTTAAAACAGGACCGGTCAAATTTGACCGTGAACACCAAAGTAAGGGGGGGGGGAATGAAGACAATAGGAGGGTTAAGTGAGTCCTAATACAGTCCTCCTTTCCTTTTATTTTATTGTTATTATCTGAGCTTTTTAATGACTGTTGTATGCATTTGTAAATATAATGTATTTAAATGTCATTCTGCAATTAGTATGTTTCCAACATTTGTGTAAAGCACTTTGAATTGCCTAGTTCGTGGGGAATTAGGTTGTAACAACTGCAACCCTAACCCTAACCCTTAAGTTGGGAAAATACTGAATGTTCCTTCTGTATCAGAGTAGCACATGATAACAGAGGCCCTACGTAGCTGTGTACGTAGCCGGATGTATGACTACATGGATGACGCTCATGAGACACTGTGTTGAAGTTATGATTGCCATGTTCCTAAGATTGATGACACAGCCCCTAGAGAGATACGCATATAACTGTCATGTTTATTGCTTACGCAGGCCTTAGCTAATCTTAACTAATGTCTGCTTTGAACCAGTATTCCTCCCTCTTGTTGACTGTAACACCCTCTCTTGTATATAAGCATATCAAGGACTCTACTCTGGGAACTATTTGTCCCACGCAGCCCTGTGTGTGATGACTACTTCCATTCTTGCAAGGATAATAAATACATGTATCCTGATATTGAAGACCAAGTCGGTGACGAGTGAAATTGTTCTAACATAAACAAGGCTTTGTACATAAGTTAAAGCCTATGGTTGTTACAGTGTTGATTAAATAGATACGTTTATAGGTAGAATTCCCCTCATGAATGTGATTCCAGTGTATTAAGCCCTTGTGTTTGATAATGCATTACAAAGTTAAGCCAACGCTCATTTGAGACTTCAATAGTCAACAGTTAACTTTTTTGAAATATGATAGATGTAAAAAAAAAGACATCCTCATTTGTCATGTCAATAAATGTTGATATTGTAAAGAACAGCAGGAAATAATTGGTTGTATTGTTGTAAACTTGACTCTCTCTCCTTTCATACTGAGGACCACCACTGGGTGCGGAGTTTAAAGAGACAGGGCACAACTTTGCTCAGGGGTTTCTACAGCTTTTTAAAAAGTCATTTAAATTCACCCCTGTATTAAACTAATGCTTTTGTTAGTAAATAAAGCTACTTCTTTCTTTCCCTGCATGTTGGATTCATTGTGTTCTCCCTCCATTTTCAAGTTGTTCCTCTTTAGCGATTAGCCCCCTTTTTTGCCTCTCTGTCTCATTTAGTTGTACCCTCTTTCACAAAAGAAACACACACACACACACACAGACATAAACAGACACACACAGAAACATAAGCATAAACAGACACACACACACACACATAAACAAACACACACAAACACACACATAAACACACACACACACATAAACACACACACACAAACATAAACAGACACACACAGACCACACGCTGGTCCCCACATGCACATGCAATAGCTAAACGGTAAATCATAAAAACAGGCAATATAAAATCTACCAGGGGGAAAAAAGGGATCAGGAAGTAAGTAAGCATATCTTAATATATTTCAGGACCATCCATCTAGTAGTTGTAAAGACCTGTTCACCAAAAAATGTCAACCTCATGGTCATGCAAATCCAGTGGTCCCAATTACTTATCATCTGAGGACAATGAGAATCTGTACAAGACAATAATGCATGCCAAAGTTAATGATATATTTCATTTGGCACAAAAACACATATTCCTTGATGACTGCATCAATTCACATGATACAACATGTCTCCCCTTAGCAGAAGCTCGTATGATATTCACTTAACAAAATGATCTACCTCTCCTTCCAATGAACCCTTCTCTGCGAGGTATACACAATTTAAAAGAAGATTTAGTGTTGCTTAAGGAAACTTCAACATGCCTGCCAAATGGATTCTATAACAGTAAATAACTAGAATCCAGACCGCACAAATTATAACGACCTTTGTGTAAGAGACAACATTATGTAGAACACTGACCAATCATATGTATCGATGCTTGCTGCAAAGTATGTTGAGCCCCATTAGGTTTAATGAGCAGTGATTAAATGTAATTCAGTAGTTATCATGAGGGAAGCCGGTCGGCCCCTTTCTATTGTGAGTCAGACGGGAGGAATGTGAGAGAGAGTCCAACAGCGCCGTGATTCAGCTGACTCAGGGTTTTTGGTGAGTAACTGAGCCGTGAGTTACACTCCATGTACACAGGGAGGCTGGAGCTGGAAAAATACACCTCAGTGAAGGGAACAATATCTCCTCTGAGGTTTGCACCGGAGGAAGCAGAAAAACAGATCTCATCATGACATGAGAACACTACAGGTCTCTCTGAAAATGTGTTCATCTGAAACACCTAACTTGGGGGAGAAAGAAGGGTCATTTTCACTTTCTCTCTATGGATCCATGTGATAACAAATAGCAAGATCCCAACGCTAAGAAGAGAAAAACATCTTTTACAATATATATCTGAGATATTAGAAGGCTTAACACAGTGGCGAACCGTCAGGGCCTTCAAGGTATTCAGAGAATGCCCTGGAACTGTCAAGATATGTCTGTGTTGTGTTTTGTCTTGTTTAGATCTGTCTTTGGTTCCCTGTCAGTTTCCCTGGTGTGTCTAATTTACCCGATTGTGTTCACCTGGTGTCCCTGTGTTTTCTCCTCCCTCCTCACCTGTGTCTTGTTTGTATGATTAGTCTTGTGTGTATTTAAGTTCTGGTTTTTCTGTCTCTCTTTGTCGGTTCGTCTTGTGTAATGACTTGGTCTGCGGTGAGTGTTCTGTTCAGTCTTTGTTTATAGTTTAGCCTTGAAATAAAGGAGTTATTCTTTGACACTTTAATCTGCATTTGGGTCCTGCTTCCTGCACACACCGTAACAGGAACACTCAGATAAAACAAACACAAAATCGATTTAATTATATAAATAAAATGAATAAATGAGAATCGTATATGGGTTGTTGATCTGTAATATTACAGTGTTACGTTGATTTGTTTGTCCTTCTCGGTCCATGCAGAGTTTCCCTCGGTTCCTGGGTACTCTAGAACAGTGGTTCCCAACCTGGGGAGCTCTCCCCCCTTGGGGATCGCAGGGGGGGGCGCCAGGCCTCAGATGATTTGAGGCCAAATATCATATTTACATTACATTACATTGCATTTAGCTGACGCTTTTATCCAAAGCGACTTACAATAAGTGCGTTCGACCAACAAAATACAAACTTGAAGAAAACAGAATCATATAAGTACATCAGGTTTCATAGAGCAAAAACATTTCAAGTGCTACTCAACTGGCTTTAGGTAAGCCAGTCCTTTATTAGTATATAAGTGCTTTGTTAGTAGTTCTATCGCTCGAAGTGGAGTCGAAAGAGATGAGTTTTCAGTTTGCGCCGGAAGGTGTGTAAGCTATCTGCTGTCCTGATGTCAATGGGGAGCTCATTCCACCATTTTGGAGCCAGGATAGCAAACCCACGTGTTTTTGCTGATGGGAACTTGGGTCCCCCTCGCAGCGAGGGTGCAGCGAGCCGTTTGGTTGATGCAGAGCGTAGTGCACGTGCTGGGGTATACGGTTTAACCATGTCCTGGATGTAGGAAGGGCCAGATCCATTCGCAGCATGGTACGCAAGTACCATTGTCTTGAAGTGGATTCTAGCAGTTACCGGAAGCCAGTGAAGGGATCGGAGGAGCGGAGTGGTGTGGGAACATTTAGGAAGGTTGAAGACCAGACGAGCCGCTGCATTCTGGATGAGCTGCAGAGGTCGGATGGCACATGCAGGTAGACCAGCCAGGAGGGAGTAGCAGTAGTCTAGGCGTGAGATGACGAGAGCCTGGACCAGAACCTGAGTCGCTTTCTGAGTCAGCTGGGGACGTATCTTCCTGATGTTGTAAAGCGTGTATCTGCAGCAGCGGGTTGTAGCAGCTATGTTTACAGTGAAGGACAGGTTGTTATCTAGGGTCACACCCAGATTCCTTGCAGTCTGAGTCGGGGAAACAATAGAGGTGCCGATGTTGATTGTTAGGTCAAGAGTGGGACAATCTTTTCCCGGGAGGAAGAGCAGCTCAGTCTTGTCAAGGTTGAGCTTGAGGTGATGAGCAGACATCCACTGAGAGATGTCAGCTAGACAAGCAGAGATGCGTGCGACGACCTGGGTCTCTGAGCGGGGAAAGGACAGAATTAATTGGGTGTTGTCAGCGTAGCAGTGGTATGAAAAACCATGCGGGCTAATGACAGATCCGAGCGAGTTTGTGTACAAGGAGAAGAGGAGGGGACCAAGAACAGAGCCCTGAGGGACCCCTGTAGTTAATTGACAAGGGTCG